AGTGCCACCCACCAGTGTCCCCCAGCAGTGCCACCCATTAGTGCCCATCAGTGCCGCCAGTCAGGGCTGTCAGTCAGTGCCTTCAGTCAGTGCCACCTATCAGTGCCACCTATCAGTGTGCAGCATCATCAGTGCCTCCTCATCAATGCCCACCAGCTCCGCCTCATCAGTACCACCTCATCAGTGCAGCCTATCAGTGCTGCCTTTCAGTGCAGCCTCCTCAACGCACATCAGTGAAGGAGAAAAATTACCTGTTTGCAAAATTTTATAATAGAAACAAAGAAACTTTTTTTTTTCAAATTTTTTTGCTTTTTTTGTTTATAGAGCAAAAAATAAAACACCCACTGGTGATTAAATCTGCGCTCTCAATTACCTCATTTATACCCACTGGTGATTAAATACCACCAAAAGAAAGCTCTATTTGTGAAAAAAAATTATAAAAATTTCACATGGGTACAATGTTGCATGCCCACACAATTTGTCATTCAAAGTGCAACAGCGCTGAAACCTGAAAATTGGCCTGGGCACCTAAGGGGTATTAGTGCCTTGTAGGCAAGTGGTTAAACTGTCAGGGCCTGGACTTGAACCTGGGACTTCTACTGTGTCAGGCAGTAACTCTACTCACTGAGCTACCTAGGATGCTGGACAACACTTTGCCTCATCTATTGGATAATCCTGCCTTGTGCCTTGTTTGCTCTTGAACCTTGAACTCCTTGCTCCTCACATGAACTTCCTATATAAGCCATGTCCTTGGACTTCCTCCTTGCCAGATTATTGTGCCTTTCCAGCCAATATCCTGCTACTGTTCCTGCTGCTGTCTACACCTCCGCTACTGACCTTTGGCTTGTTCCTGACCACGATTGATCTGCTACCATTTGTGATCGACCCTTGGCTTGTGACCGACTCTGCTTTCGTCTGATCCCTAACCTGTTGATCCGCTATTGGTTCCCAGTCTGCTCATTCCCTGGTGGGGTGATCCTGAGATCTGCGACCTGGTATTAACACGCAGCCCAATCCATCTCCACCATTAGGAGCTCTGGTGAATACCGGTTAATACTTAGACCCCGCACCTCAGGTGAGCCTGCGTCATTCCCAGGGGGATCCGCTGGTGTACCTATCCTGCTGGTTCCAGGTAAGCCTTTTACTGCTATAGCAACTGGTCTCTGAACCTGACCTTACACCGTGACATAAACAGTGATACCAAAGTTACAAAGACCATGTAATTACATGAAAATAATAAACACTGGTATTTTTTAACGCACATTTTTGCACATTCTTTAAATGTGTATTTTGGCTCCTTTTTTTTTTTTTTGCGCATTTTAGCATTATTTACATTCATTTTGCTGCTTTTTAACATGCTGTGTTTTTTTTAACACGCATTTTGACGTGGGTTTTTTTTAATGCACATTTTGAAACTTTTCTAAACACACATTTAGGTACTTTAACGCACATTTTGGCACAGGTTTTTAACATGCATTTTGGTGTGGTTTGTAATGCACATTTTGGCACTTTTCTTAGCACGTATTTTGGCATTTTTTTAAAGTGCATTTTGATTTGGTTTGTATGCATATTTTGGCAAACTTCAAATATGCGAGCCAAAAGTGGCTAGCATAACACCCCTCTCACTCGTGATATAACCAATAGTTCCTGTGGAGGCATCAAGGCTCCTAATCTTAGGATGCCACATTATTCAACCCACCCGCACACTCTCATATTAACATTTTTAAGAACATGGTTTTAAGCGATTTGGAAAAAATAAAGGTGCGTAATTTTAACAATCAACATATGATTAATAAAAGTATTTAGTCACTTTTATCTAATAAAGATCTCCCAGCAGACAAAGGCGGTGGAGTGGTTGTAATGGACAAAAAGGACTATATGATTCAAGATCATAAGATCCTAGATGATACTGTAACTTATAAACCACTCCCAAGAATCACTTACAAAAAAGAACTTAAGAATTTAATTAAACAAGGCTTTGATAGAGGGGTGATCAATAAAAGAGAATGCCTTTCTATGTCCAGCAGCCCCAAGATTACCCGTTCTATATTGTCTCCCCAAGATCCATAAGGATCCTGTATGTCCACCAGGAAGACCAATAACACAGGTCTGTGAATAAAAAGCTGTTTGATTATTTTCATCTAATTTCCATGTATTTTGGTGTGCTGAAAACAAATAAAATATTTAAAAACTCCTAGACGTCATGATTTGCCACAAAATGCAAAATTGTCTTCAAATTTATCAAATTTTTTAAATTTTTGGTATTTTTTTTTTTTTATATTATGGGTTTTTAACCAAATTTAAAGTCCAAATTACTATTAATTAATTCACATAAGTGCATTTAAGATATAAAATGGCAAAAAAAACCTAAAGGGGTTGTCTATGGGACGATCGAGACCGACAAAATCACTGGACCAAGAAGAGTTGGCAGCCGAGGGTGCTAACAGTCAGTGAAAAAAAATGTCCTCCGAGAAACTTTGGTACCTTCCCATAAAGTTCTTCTACCACCTCTCCACATAAAATTGGGATTGATGAAGCAATTCGTAAAATCACTTCCAAGAGATGGAGAATGCTTCAAATACTTGGTCACCAAGTTTCCAGGCCTGTCGGAGGCAAAATTGAAGGAAGGTGTGTTTGTCGGACCAGTATTAGAAGGCTTATAGTTTATCAAGAGTTTGTCAATACCATGACGGATCCTCAAAAAGAAGGGTGGATTGCGTTTAAAGAAGTCGTACAGAAATTTTTAGGCAATAACAAAGATCCTCACTACAAAAAGATCGTTGGACGAATGCTGAAAGCATTTCAAGCTTTAGGTTGCCTGATGAGTTTGAAAGTGCATTTCCTCCAGTCCCACCTTGACTACTTTTGAAGTTGCCGTCCGCAGCCACCTCACGAGAGCCCAGAGCTGCTGCAGCATTCATCCCTCGTTGGGCTCGCTGGGAGGCAGAGGAACTCCCAGCACCCGAAGACCCTTCCTGTGCCAGGTGATACCCGGCTCCCAAGCCCGGGCGGCGCACGGGGGTGACGTCTTCAGCCACCGCCCCCGCATCTTCAGAGCTCAGAGCCGCAGCTCCTCCCCATCCATGTCAGGCTCACCGAGCCCCATAGGAAGGCCCAGCAGCCGAAGCCCCATACTGCTCCAGAAGCAGGCGCACGGGAGTGACGCCATCCTCAGCCGTGGAGGCCCCAGCAATCTGAGAAATTGCTTGCAGAATGTGAAGTATTAGTGTGAGAATCTGTTACAGCATGCTGTGGGTTAATATCTGTCATTCTATGTTTAGATGTTGCTGGGCTCTCAATAGAAGAAGTAGAGAAAGCAGGGGAGACAGGATGCAGTAAGATAGAGCTGTTTTTCTGCTTAATAGGTGTCACAGGAGAAGCTGCAGAGACTTGCCTATGTGCTGAGAAACCTCACCCATGCTGACACAAGCTCTGACTAACCCCCAACAAATTCCAGCCCCTCTCCTCATCCTAGCAAGACCACCCTCCAGCCCAATTGCTCCAATCAGGTGAGTAACCATCCCCCATCTCCTATACTCCCACTCAAATCCAGTCTTTGCCTTGTCTGCAAGCCCCAGTCATGCTGGCCCTCCCTTTTAGCTTAGCTCAGTCCAGGCCCTGACTTTCCTGAAAATTTGGGAGCTGTGAGTGAGGAACAAGGTGAACGATTCCACCAAGACATTAAAGAGATGGAAAGGAGATACCAGGGAAAATGGATTATTACAATGATGGCAGACTACTGTTGGATGCTTCAGAGAGACATTCCAGATGCTACTCACAAGCATAAATGCACCAAGAGGAGCCTCACAGGGAAGAAGAATCGAGTTTAGTGTGTGTAGGTGAGCTCATTTCAGTTCAAAAAAGGATTTTCATGAAAAAATTGTAATAAAACTTTAATTGTATTTCCATTTATTTTGAGGTATTGCCTTATTTAACATAGTTACCTAAATTGTCAGGAAACATGATGTCCTATGACAAAATGGAGGTCATTTTCGGATTCAGCACACCAAAAAACATAAAGATTACTTGGAATAACCAAAACAGCTCTTGAGAAAATTTTTTTGCAGACCTGTGTAATTAGTGGGATTGGGTCATTATTAGAGATGAGCGAATTATTCAAAAATTCGATTCGACTGATTCGGCGAATTCGTGAAAAAATTTCGATTCGAGTCGAATATATTCGCTGCGAATTTAACTTATAAAAGGGTGTTTCTAGGCTTCAGAGAGCCTTTATATTAGTGCAGAACACTGTACCTTTTAATTTAAATGCTCTTGGAGTCTGCTGGGGAAGAGAAATAATACTGTCAGCCAGTATGAAGCAGATGAGTGCCGTCGATCTTAGAATCACCGCACACTTCACTCATTTGGGCAGTCACGGGGCCAAAACCAGAGTGTGGAGCCACAGTGTGGCGGTGGAGGCAGCAGCAATGGGAGGCCATACAGCACCCTATGACAAAATGGAACCCACCAGCAGTGTGAGGAGACCTGAAAGTGGCACATGGCAGAGTGTGGCGATGGAGACAGCAGCAATGGGAGGCGGTAAAGGGACCCATGACACACTCTGGACCTGGCAGCAGCATGAGGAGGCGGTACAGGGGCCCATGACAGATTACGGGCCTGGCAGCAGCATGAGGAGTCGGTACGGGGGCCCATGAAACACTCTGGACCTGGCAGCAGCATGAGGAGGCGGTACAGGGGCGCATGACAGATTACGAGCCTGGCAGCAGCAACTTGGACAGGAGGACGTTCAGCTTCTGCACCGTCGGGTGCGTGCTCGCAAACTGTTGTCTCTTGGAAACGGATTCCAAGAAAGACTGCTGACGGAATCCGTGAAGAGGAGTAGCAGGAGAAGGAGCATCTGAACGAGCGGAATATGCCAACAAGCGACAACAGGGGCCCATGACAGATTACGGGCCTGGCAGCAGCATGAGGAGTCGGTACGGGGGCCATGGCAGATTACGGGCCTGGCAGCAGCAATGGGAGGCCATACAGCACCCTATGACAAAATGGAAACCCACCAGCAGTGTGAGGAGACCTGAAAGTGGCACATGGCAGAGTGTGGCGATGGAGACAGCAGCAATGGGAGGCGGTACAGGGACCCATGAGACACTGTGGACCTGGCAGCAGCATGAGGAGGCGGTACAGGGGCCCATGGCAGATTAAGGCCTGGCAGCAGCAATGGGAGGCCCGTAATCTGCCAGCACCCTATGACAAAATGGAACCCTGGGCTGGGGCAGGCAGAACCGCCGTATCTTTATCACGGTTTTCCCAGGCCACCGAATGGCGACGCTGCATATGCTGACGCAACGCTGTAGTCCCAACATGGGCCCCCTGGCCACGCTTGACTTTCTGGCCACATAGTCGACATACGGCTACGTTTACTTCCTCGGGCGGCTTGACGAAAAAATTGCCACACCGCCGAGTAGCAAACTTTGCCCCCGCTACTCCTCACTGGCTGACTGCTACTTCCTCCGTGCACACCGGCACCACTACTGGCCGTGGTGGTAGGCTGCAGTGGAGCTGGTGCTCTACTCCGTGGCCGTTTGCCTCCACTGACACTGCTGCGACCCTGCTGCCTCCTGGCAGCAGCAATGGGGAGGAGGAGGCGGTACAGGGGCCCATGGCAGATTAGGGGCCTGGCAGCAGCTATGGGAGGCCCGTAATCTGCCAGCACCCTATGACAAAAAATGGAACACACCAGCAGTGTGTGAGGAGACCTAAAAGTGGCACATGGCAGAGTGTGGCGATGGAGACAGCAGCAATGGGAGGCCGTACAGGGACCCATGAGAGACTCTGGACCTGGCAGCAGCATGAGGAGGCGGTACAGGGGCCAACGGCAGATTACGGGCCTGGCAGCAGCAATGGGAGGCCCGTAATCTGCCAGCACCCTATGACAAAAAATGGAAACACACCAGCAGTGTGAGGAGACCTGAAAGTGGCACATGTTTGGGGCATGATTCATGGCGGATTTAGTCAGTTGTGTCAGGAACTGGTGGTTTGAAATCCAGATTAATCCACGCCTGATTCATTTTCACAAACGTGAGTCTCTCCACACTTTGGGTGGACAGTCGTGTCCTCCGCGGAGTTACAATACCTCCTGCCGCACTAAACACGCGCTCAGATGCCACGCTACTGGCCGGGCATGACAGCCTTTCAAGGGCAAATTCAGCTAGTTTGGGCCAAAGGTCAAGTTTCGTTGCCCAGTAGTCAAGGGGATTGTCTACCTCGGTTGGCAGGGTGCTGTCCAAGTAGGCCCAAGCCTGTTGTTTGAGGTCCTGCTCCAGGTCCACCTGATGCTGCTGCTGCTGCTGCGGCTGGTTAGTAGTTTCCTCACTGCGCTGGTGAAGAAAGCTACTCATCATCGACTGCAGACTGAGGCAGCCGCTGCTGGTGGAGCTGCCACTGCTCCTACCACCCCACCCCTCCCCTGCTGCCATGGCAGCGGAACGCGAGCGCACAGGGCCCACAGTGTCTGAGGATGGACGTTGGCGCACAAAGGCAGAGACCAACTGACTACATAGGTGGTTTTTATAGTACGTTATTTTGGCCTCCCTCTCAGCAGGTGTGAAAAAGGCCACCATTTTTGAACGGTAGCGAGGGTCCAACAAGGTGGACAGCCAAAAGTCATCCCTCTGTCTGATGGTTATTATTCGGCTGTCGCTACGCAAGCAAGCGAGCATGCTATGGGCCATTTGTGCCAAGGAATGCGAGGGACTCCCTGCCTCCATCTCCACAGCATACTGCCACGGTGCGTCTGGGTCTTCTGTCTCCTCCTCCTCCTCCTCTACCAGATGCTCCTGCTCCTCCACTCCTGTCCGCTGAGTGGAAAAACCACCCATTTCACTCAATAATTCCTGAGCACAAATGTCCTCCTCTACCTCCTCCTCTTCTTCCTGTCCTGCCCCCACAGGGGTCATGTGGCGTTGAGATCTGTGCGCCACGTCTACCGCACCCTGACCAGCCATTGTTAACAGCATTTGTTCCAGGACGTGCAACAGAGGAATGACGTCGTTCATCATCCCCCATAGTCCTGCCGACTCACGAATAGCGTGGCCTCCTCAAAGGGCCTGAGCAAGCGGCAGGTGTCACGCATGAGCTGCCAATGGCTGACATCGAAGTTACACAGGGAGTACCTTTATCCGCTTGTAACATCAGGAAATCGGTGATGGCCTTTCGCTGTTCGTAAAGGCGGTCTAACATGTGTAGGGTTGAATTCCACCTTGTTGCAACGTCGCAGATCAGGCGATGCTGTGGAATTCCGTTCTGCCGCTGCAGCTCAAGGAGGGTGTGCTTTGCGGTGTAGGAATGGCTGAAATGCATGCAAAGTTTACGTGACATTTTAAGGATGTCTTGCAGTGGGATGGTGGATTTTAGGAACCGCTTGACAACCAGATTGAACACGTGAGCCATGCATGGCGCATGGCACAACCTTCCTTGACGCAGAGCAGACACCATGTTCTTTCCGTTGTCGGTCAACATGGTTCCGATTTTCAGTTTGCGCGGAGACAGCCATCTGTCGATTTCTCTGTTCATTACACTGAGAAGTTCCTCCCCTGTGTGACTACGTTCGCCAAGGCATACCAGGTGCAGCACAGCGTGACACCGTTGCGCCCTGCACATGTGATATGCCGGTCGGGTAATGGGACTTGGCACGGGGGTGGCGGCTGAGGACACGGCGGAAGAAGAGGTGGTAGAGGCGGACATCTTTGCCGGACCAAGGACGTGCAAACGTGGAGGCAAAAGCGGCGTGACCTGTCCAAGTTGCTGGTGCGGCTGTGCCGGCACCACGTTCACCCAGTGGGCCGTAAATGACATGTACTGTCCCTGACCGTAGTTACAGCTCCACACGTCGGCGCTGCCGTGCACTTTGGCAGAGACCGACATGCTCAAAGACTGGCCCACCATCTCTTCTACATGTGAATGCAGGGCTGGCACTGCCTTTTTGGCGAAGAAATGACGGCTTGGCACTCTCCACCGCGGCGCGGCACAAGCCATCATTTCTCGGAAAGGTGCTGAGTCCACCACTTGGAAAGGGAGGGACTGCAGCACCAGCAACTTGGACAGGAGGACGTTCAGCTTTTGCACCGTCGGGTGCGTGCTCGCAAACTGTTGTCTCTTGGAAACGGATTCCAAGAAAGACTGCTGACGGAATCCGTGAAGAGGAGTAGCAGGAGAAGGAGCATCTGAACGAGCGGAAGATGCCAACGAGCGACAACTCCCCTCAGCAGAGGTGTTGGAGCCTTGACTGGCTGATAGAGGGCGATTGACGTCGGGTGACGGAGCAAGTAACGGAGCGGGTGATGGAGCGGGGGCTGGGGCAGGCAGAACCGCCGTATCTTTATCACGGTTTTCCCAGGCCACCAAATGGCGACGCTGCATATGCTGCTGCAACGCTGTAGTCCCAACATGGGCCCCCTGGCCACGCTTGACTTTCTGGCCACATAGTCGACATACGGCTACGTTTACTTCCTCGGGCGGCTTGACAAAAAATTGCCACACCGCCGAGTAGGAAACTTTGCCCCCGATACTCCTCACTGGCTGACTGCTACTTCCTCCGTGCACACCGGCACCACTACTGGCCGTGGTGGTAGGCTGCAGTGGAGCTGGTGCTCTACTCCGTGGCCCGTTTGCCTCCACTGACACTGCTGCGACCCTGCTGCCTCCTGGGCAACCCACCGACTGTTTTGCTCGCTGCCAAGCTGCCACCCTCTTCTCCTGATGATGCGGAAGCAATAGCCTGATGACGACGAGGCTGCCAAGTGCGATCAGCCTCATCATCATCAATTAGGGTCTCCGCCTCACTACTAGCCCCCTCGGCTGCGTGTGGGTCAGGAGACAGACCTGTCTCTAGACCGGCTACCGAGCCACTCTCCTCGCCACTACTTCTTCGCCTGGCTGCTGAAGAGGCGGATGTCTCCCCCCGTTCCTGACCGCCCTCTGTTAGCTCTTCCTCACTGTACAGTGGGGCTGAGCCCACAGCATGCGATACTTCGCTTGGTGAGGGAACACCAAAGGACAGGGGCAGGTCGAGGACACGTGATTTCAGTGGGCTTGCTCCCGGGCCATGCCAACTAACGGTTGTGTCTGACGTACCCACCGACTGTTGGCTGTAGGTGTCAGAGGTGACCTGGGAAGAGGAAGACGACCGAGCCAACCAATCGATGACGGCAGGGTTGTCGGTGGAGACACGACCGCTGGATGACACCGGGAGCAATGGCCTCTGGCTGCGACTAGTGCTGCCTCGACCCCTTCCTCTGCTGCCACGTCTGCTCGCTCCTAAAACATTGCCTCCTCTGCCACTCCTCTGCATGTTGTCTGACATACTCTTTAATTCAACAATTCTGTGTCCCTGAGTAACACTTCTGTGTCCCTCAGTAACAATTCTGTGTCTGTCCCTGAGTAACAATTCTGTGTCCCTCAGTAACAATTCTGTGTCCCTCAGTAACAATTCTGTGTCTGTCCCTGAGTAACAATTGTGGGTCCCTCAGTAACAATTGTGGGTCCCTCAGTATCAATTGTGTGTCCCTCAGTAACAATTGTGTGTCCCTCAGTAACAATTGTGTGTCCCTCAGTAACAATTCTGTGTCTGTCCCTCAGTAACAATTCTGTGTCTGTCCCTCAGTAACAATTCTGTGTCTGTCCCTCAGTAACAATTCTGTGTCTGTCCCTCAGTAACAATTCTGTGTCCCTGAGTAACAATTCTGTGTCCCTGAGTAACAATTCTGTGTCTGTCCCTGAGTAACAATTCTGTGTCCCTCAGTAACAATTCTGTGTCTGTCCCTGAGTAACAATTCTGTGTCTGTCCCTGAGTAACAATTCTGTGTCTGTCCCTGAGTAACAATTCTGTGTCTGTCCCTCAGTAACAATTCTGTGTCTGTCCCTCAGTAACAATTCTGTGTCTGTCCCTCAGTAACAATTCTGTGTCTGTCCCTCAGTAACAATTCTGTGTCTGTCCCTCAGTAACAATTCTGGGTCCCTCAGTATCAATTGTGTGTCCCTCAGTAACAATTGTGTGTCCCTCAGTAACAATTGTGTGTCCCTCAGTAACAATTCTGTGTCTGTCCCTGAGTAACAATTCTGTGTCTGTCCCTCAGTAACAATTCTGTGTCTGTCCCTCAGTAACAATTCTGTGTCTGTCCCTCAGTAACAATTCTGTGTCTGTCCCTCAGTAACAATTCTGTGTCCCTCAGTAACGTTTCTGTGGCCCTAAGTAACGTTTCTGTGGCCCTAACTCTCTCCCTCAATACAGACAGCTCTGCCTCTCTTGAATGACTGGAGGCAAATGGAGAATTCTAAAATGGCCGCCATTTATAGCTCGACCATTACACAGTGCTGGCTGGCTGGCTGGCTGCTGATTGGCTAATGCGATCACATGTCATGAATGAATGCATTATGGGTCAGCGCGCCTTGTCTGCGCGCCTTCCCAGACATCCCCGCACATGTCGCCCCCATTTTAGGAAAAATTTCGATCGAAATTTTCCTAATATTCGAAACGAATTCCACTTCGCCTAGTTCGATTCGCTCATCTCTAGTCATTATGTTCCCGTATAGGAGAATATGTGGACTTCTTCCTACAACCTCTTGTTAATTTGCGGGATACAAAACAAATATTGGTAGACCCGAAAGATTTTAAAATTACGAAAGAGACATATTTAGTTATTGCTGATGTTTCTGCCTTGTATAGTAACATAAAACATGAGGATGGTATGGAGGCAGTTAAATTTTATCTTGAAACCTCCACAGATATTCCCAGGCGACAAAAGATGTTTATTTTAACCACTTGCCGCCCCCAGCCACCGCATATAAACGGTGGC